GGGGGGGGGGGGGGCAGCGACTTTTTGTCAAATTGTCTCCATAAAGATGCTTTTATTTTAAAAAAATTCTAAACAGGTACCCTGTTTAAAAGTGTGTTTTGGCTTATTGTCAGTAATACCCCATCTTTTCGGCAGTCTCAAACCCAAAACACTCCCTTTGGATTTGACATTGCGTTAAATGTACATAATTTCCAAATAATGAACGCTTAGTTTTAACGTTATTTGTTATGCGGTACTCCCGGTTTAGTACGAAGTGCCCATTGTAAAAAGTTTCATCAAATCCACCTTTTGATGCATTGGAAGATATGACGCTGCCCAACTGGATGCTGTATCAAACTGACTTTGCTTTGCTTCATCACAGAATGTGACCTTAGCGTCATTTACATTCCATTCGCGAAAGATTTGACCTCGCAGTGCACAATAGCCTTCTCGATGGTCTTTAATTGTTTATCCAAACGTATTAAACTGGGACGCAAACAATTTTGATGCTGGGGAACTAACTCGAATTGTGCCTAAATGGTTGCTTTGCCGCCCCCCCCCCTCCCCATTTTTTAAATAAAAATATTTTTCACCCATTTCGGATAACCTGGCCGCTCTCAATGGTATCCAACAGAGTTTTGATGAAACTTTTTTTGCAATGTGCACTGGGTATACTGTAAATCTATAACAAGACGTAGTAAAAAAAAAAGAAAAGAAAAAAAAAAGAAAAAGGCATTTAAAACTTTTTAGCAGTCAGTATCAGTTCAGAAATCAGCACTGATACTAAGTGATTCGAACCTGGGTTGACTGCTCTGGGGTTTATGAAGTGAGGGAAAGACATCTCACCTGCTTTACGTACAAAGAACTTCCAGTGTTGATTATAATGTGACTTGTCGATGTTTTACGCTTCCTTCGACACAGTTTGAATCGATCCTGTCTACAAGGACCAAACTGAGCTAAGAAGGATAGGCCTATACTGTTCCAGCAGACTGACGAAGATACTCTATAAAAACCCTGCCATGCGGGAATCAAGCCTACAATAATATCTGCGTGCGATGGCAAAGCATCTAAACTCTACACCACAGGCGTCGGCTATAAATAATACACCTTCGTATTATTGAAGGTATATTAATCAAGAGCTCGAAGGTTCTCACAATTGGAAAAAAGAGGTTTTTATTGTTCAAAATTCATGTGTTGCGTTGTGTCTGTTTTATACAAGTCTCAAAACTCAAATCAACAATCTTTTTGATTGTGGTTAAA